TCATTCCAGTGACTGCACTAAATAACTTTTGTCCAGGAGAGAGTTAGTATCTCCCTTCAAATTCCTGAAAAATGCATATGCACCCAGACAAACAAGCCATGCTTACATATTAATGCCTAGTTATTTAGTCCTAGACTGCTATAATAAGGATATTTTCACAGAGGCCCGAGTGGGTTGTCAGGCTGCTCTGCCAACAGTGTAGCTGATGGTGACGTGTGCTTTTGGCTTACAGAATCATTCATACTCTGAACTTTTTTAGGCACAGTTTACATGTGTTTATTCACCCTTATGCAAGGAGGATGTTCACATCTATAAAACCTTTAAATGTCTTGCGTTTTTTTCCACACTTTTTGCCAAGTTACATAAATTGTATAGCTTCACTAGCTTGGAAAAAGAAGTTAGCTATCCTCACCACAGTTGGGCTAAATGGTTTTATCACCATTTTCGGAAGGCCTTCCTTTAAGCCAGCATCACACATCCCAGTTGAATTCAGTCAAGGTTTTATTGTTTACAAAAACAGAAAGAGGTGAATCTAGATATACTGTGTATTTCTTAGACCTATTAGGCAAATAAGGTTTTTAAAGCTTTCAAATTCCACCTGTGAGACTGGCACACGAAAAGTATTATTCCATGCAACGGAAAGGGCAGAGCAATAGGATAGGGTGAGGGAGGATGGCAACTTTATTTCTCTCATTTTTAATGGGAGGAGTGCTCTTCTTACCTTAAAGAATTTGCAGTGGCGACATGCTTTATATGTTTGTGACATTTGCCTCAAACTGTTTTCATAGTGACTGGTTTTCTCTTCCCAAGCTGAGACACTGACAGTGATGTTCACATGAACATAGGAGTTTCTCTTATGTGAACCTAGATAGAATCTACTTTAAGAGGCCTTTATTTTCCTATATGGTAAAAGTAGGGTGATTTTTTTAAAACTAACAGAGTTAAACCTAGTGAAGCATTGATGCAGTAGTGAGCTACTGCATCAATGTTTTCACTAAGTGAAATCTGGTCATGCATTTCTAAATTTTGGGTAATGTCTGAGGAGCCAGCACAATACACTGAAAACACCACATCCAGAAATAAAGAAAATGCAATTGTAAAAATATGCACTAAGGAAGGATGTGGAAACTTTTCTCGCACATAAGCAGAGCAGACTAAAACACAGTTTCACTGTCCAGTTACAACTGATGAGGCATCATAGGCAGTGTTTACCACTGCTGACAACTTCAGCATAAGTTTGTATATACATACGTATACATTGCTTTAGATGCGCGTGCGTCTCTCTGTAGGTACATGCACAGTACAGTCATACATATGTTATCCTTCTGAGATATATGTAGTGCATAGAGATGTATAGGTACAATATGCATACCACATAATACAAGTTGGAATAGGTCATGAGATAAGTAACACTTATCTTAATGTTTTCCCATGTTACTCTTTCCATTTTTCAATCCCTTTCAGGGTTGACTGAAACTCTCCCAAGTCATTTAAATATCCAGAATTAAGAAAAAAATCCTCAAACACAGCTAGGAAGGTATCTGGAAATAACTACAGTGATCTTTCTTGAGAAAAAAAAATTACAACCTGTTATATTTTGCATGCACAGTATGGATTGTGAATGTCCTGAATGCCAGTGTGGCAAATCTAATGACCCTGCCAGTTAAGACTGTGAAAAATTGTCAGTGGTATCAAATACTGTGATGATCAATCTCAGCCAGTTGCAGTGCCACAGTGTACAACATGAAATAAACATAGTGTATAATTCCAAACATTTCTATTCATGCTGAACTTGTTTCCAACAAATAGGATGACTGGATTATCTATACCTTTGCTTTAAAAGTTGAAGTAGAAAAAGTATCAGACATTACAAATTAGCATTTTTCCCAATAACTGTCTGGCAGGTCCTAATAGCAGAAGTAGAAAAGTGTAGAACTTACAAATTATCTATGCCTGATATGAGGAAGAACATCCTAACTAACTAAAGTTTTTAATTCCATGAAAACCTGAATGTCATACATGCTTTAGCTAAGCTTCCAGACAGAAGTGCTTGAGTATCATGGGAGTGCAGTGCATGAGAGAGAAAAGGCAGACATCATTATGAACACCTCAGCTCCACCAGACATCTCTACATATCCCTGGGGCTCACAAGAAGCAATCTACAAATATGTATCACTTTGACCTGCTCCCAGAAGCCAGTGCAGTGGTATTTGCATGGGTAAATACAGAAAAGATAAAAAGAATATATAAAATAGAAAATCACAGAAGCTGGAAGCAAGATGTGAAAAGAGACAGTAGATTTGCAGAGGTCAAAAAATATTCAGAGTTATCACAATGAATATGTACTTTTTTAAAATTTCCAAATGCATTAAAATACATGATGATTCATGAAGTGGGTGAAGTTTAAGCTAGTGGGGGCTTGGCAGAACATCCTTATGGAGAGATCATCACAGGAGTTGCAAAGAAGGTCAGGCTTGGTGAACAGCCAACTTGTGGCAAAGACCATTTTTGCCAATAAGGACCTGGAATATGTGAGTCCTGCTCCGTCTCTTTTTCATGTGTCTTACACATCTTTAGAAAAGAAGCATCAGGTCCCAACATTACAACTGCTGGAATTAGTAAGGTGCCTTCTGATAGTTTAAGAGCACATAACTTTGCATAGGGGGACTGTGAAAGGAAAGAAAGCCTGGTACCAAGAGAAGCTTGTAGAGCGGATTTTAGGAAGACTCTAGGAGCCATTTGTAGGAGAATGAGGGTTTAGAATCTCAAACATAAAACTGAATAGGGATGCATAGTCAGATGGGCAAGGGGCAAGTGAAAAGCAGTTTATAAATAAGTTAGCATGACACAACATGACAATCCCTACCATATATATGGTAGCATGATGATAACTCTATCTTCAAAATTACTGATGCTGCTGATCCGGGAAAAAAAAAGATAAAAATTTCCTTTTCTTTTGATGTTCACACTCTGTAGAGGCAAACCAAGTGTACTTTGGCACCTGTATTCACTAGTGAGATACACAAGGTTGATAATGAACTAAGATTTTCTAGAATATTATTGCAGAAGAAGTAAGGAAATATAATAATCAAGACAGTAAAATAAGAAAGTGAAGTTGTACATAATTGAGAAAGGTCACCAACTGTCTCAGAACATCTGTGTGGGTATCCTTATGAAACTGCCAGAATCCTTTAGAACATTTATTGTTTAGGTTACCCTACTCCGCATGTTTAGATCCTGGAAACTATTCAGGCCTTTCCTATATTTGTTTAGCTTTTGAACAATGCCACACTGATTTTCAGTTTACCTTTGCAGAAAGTGTGTTATGCTGGGGTAGGAAAAAGTGCTTCATGCACCATGAGCCCTGTTCCTGGATCTTTGGATCAGATATTTCCCACTGCCTATACCAGTACAGAAGTAATAAACTTCTATCACAATTTTACATTGAGAAAGCCGAGCAAATATTTTGAAGTGTATTGTTGTCTCTTCAGAGGCTGACAGTGATCGGGGTCTATTCTACAAAGATTTCTCCAGATTACCCAATGGCTCCTGTCTGGCTATCACTTCTGATTTTTTGTTCCTCTTCATATGGAATTTAATCTGGTATTTTTACAATTAATGGGCACTCGTCTCTGAAAATGCAGCTTTCCATGTGAATAGTGTTAATGGGACCGAGCTGTTTGTCTGCCATCAGAGTGATGCTTTCTATTGTGTTTCTGACTTAATTTTCCTCAAAACAGATGAACTATTGCATTATTTGCATTTCTTAAAAGCAATGCAGCGTCAGATTGTACCTTCTGGTCTCGCACTGTTCCTCTGCAAACTATTGTGTGTGCCTGTGTTCATAAATAATATACCCTCTTGTGCATACAGCTAAAATTTTTGTGTGTGCATGGGTTTTAAGCAAACACAGAACATAAAATACAAATTAACTCGATCCTCCACTGTAGTTGTAATACAGCCAAATCCTTAATATTTTATAGTGCATATTCCATTAAATAAATAACTAAATTGATCTATGCTACAATATGTGTATACATACACATTTCATGATGCCTGTAAAAAAATTTTAAAGCCTGTTCACACATCAAAAGACAGGTTTTTTATTTCTCTGTTAAAACAATCCAAGGATTTAACTCTTCCTATTATGTAAACAGTGGTGACAGATGCTTTCAAGGAAGCTTAACTTCAATAAAAATAATAGTTTCCCATTGTAAAATCAATACTAATATACTGTAAATCCCCCTGATGAACTCTGGCTTCCTTACATGCTCTCACATTTTGTGTATTAGGGGCACAGCACTACTCTAGATATCAGAATATAATAATATGGCAATATATATAGATATAGATATATATTTAAATGTTAAAACATTTGTAAGGTCAACTTGAGCAATGAATATATTTCAAATACATGCTTTTTTCTATAAATAAAGGTCATTAATTTTCTTTGCAACACAGGTGCCTTATAAGGCTTTGGTTCTATGTGGCTACCAAACTGATAAAACAATTCTGGTATCTTTAGTTCAAAATGCACTTGTGACTTAGGGATGAAGCTTTAACTTTTTCTGTATTTTATACTAAAACTTGCAGTAGAGTTGCAATATTATTTATGAGATTACCTTAGGGTAAACATTTTAAACAACTCATACAAAAGAAAGATAGTATTTCAAGAGTATTTGTTTTAGTGACAAGAAAGCTAGGTATAGTTTATTCATTTCTCAAGCAGACCTTTATGAATCACTTTAAAAGGACACTACAGCTGAAGACTGAAGAGCAATATTTATCAACATTAAATAAAACATTTGGTGAAATATGTATAAATATTTCTTCATATGAACATAACACAAAATTAAATAGTTCAGATACACAGACACCATTTAATATATTTCCACTGTTGTCAAAATCATCTGTAAACACCATCTCACACTGAATAGAAAAGCAGCTTTAACATCAGTTCTGTGTTCACAACACTGATGCCCCTTTGTAAAATAAGATACTTGTTTTATTTTCAGCAAAATAAGAGTCTAAGCAATAAAAAAAGTTTTGGTCAGTTCAAAGGAGAATACAAAATAATCTTTCAACATGTAACTAAATCAGATTTAGAGCAACAGTTCAAAGTACAATCCTTTCCCCAGGGGACCTCTGACTTTTATATGTGACTTTTTATGTGGTGCAGACCACATCACAAATACCAGGAATTACTGGTTATGTCTAAGCTATAAATATTAAAGCCCTTTTAAAATTGTCTTTATCAAAAATTGCCAGGTTAGAAATTGGCAATATCACATTTTTCGCAACACCGAATAACCTAGCGTCAAAAGGATTTAGATGCGCTTCTCCTGATGATTTTAAAACAGGTTCTGGAAAAGAAACACTTTTTAGTGAGCATCCTTCATGTGCAAATATAAAGCATTTCTTTTAAACAAATCTTTTGCATCTGAAGATCAGCTGGGCAGACAGTGCAAGCAGGGGGGCTCCACCAAGTTTTGTCAGAAAATTAAAACTTGAACTTTTATTGGAAGCTGTAGAGATACTGCACATTAGATCAGAGCTGGCTCCGAGAATCGTGGTGCATCCACACGGTGCAACTCAGGACGAGGTGTTGCAGCACCCGTGTGTGCCACAACAGCAGTGCAGACCCCCCAGGATAACATGGGGGTTCTGCTGGTGATTGTGCCTGCCTGGCTCCTGAGCAGCTCCCTTTGAGCATCAGTACTGTGCAGCCCTGATCTGGGGTTCCATCATCCTACGCCCTACAAAGATAGCTTCATACTTTTTCCCGAATGTAGCTCTCAGTTCCTTTCACCTTTCTATCTTTTAAAGAGGTGTGATCACATTCCGGAGAGACACTATGCTCAAGATTAAGGTTTTACTGGGCATCTACCCCATTATAAAATTCTGTAGACTGTTAGGCTCACAGGCTCTGCTTTGGTTCTCTCTTTTTGAAATGTGGACATCATGTTTTGGTTCCAGAGATAAACTTGAGTTTTGGGTGGCAAACAAAGAACTATATACATATAACATGATTTTCTGACTCCCTTTTAAAATTTCAATCACATGAAATCATGATGAGGGGTCCTGTAAAACCTAGGACATTAGGTCACCTCTTTCCCAGTATGTGTGTATTTTACAGGTGTGAATGTATGTTATGCATACATACACTCTCACACACACACACATATAACATGAGCTGCACACATAGATACTTGGAAATCAGGAATCAGGAGGACAATTGACAATATACCAGAAGAGAAGTAGACAGGAAACTCTACCTGGACAACAAGAAGCAATTTTTCAACTTATACAGTCTCTCAAATAATTTCATAATCCTATTTCACAAGCTTGCTACCTCTCTATGTAACTTGAATAGAAAGATGTTGGATTCCTTGGAAACAGAAGAGTTGGGCTAGCTATATGTGCTTACCTGAGATCTCAGAGTTGATTATGATCAAAGAGCTGGGCAGATAAGTAATGGGTTTATAAATGCTATACAGCTTCTTGCAAATTTGTAGGAAAACGATATTAAATATTTCATTCCTTAGTAAAAACACTGAAGTTTGTTAGTTTTTGCTGAATGCAGACTTGATTTTTATATTAAACTGGATTTATTGAACGGATAAATAAGTCTGGCAGCTGCTTTCATGACTTGATATTTAAATCATAGAATCAGCACCCTGGAACCACCCTCCCACCCCAACACATCCCATCATATTCCTTACTATCCTGTGTCCCATCCTGCCCTGTCCCGTGCCATCCTGTCCCATCCTATCCCATTCCATCCTGTCCTATCCCATCTCATCCCTGTTTCATTGGTTTTTTATTGTTTAAAAAATACTATACTATGAAGCCTCCCTAGGGATCCGCTTATGAAAAATGACAGACTGCCTTTGCTGATACTGCTGTTTGCGTTGTTTTCGTTTGTCACACTGGCACAGCAGCAGCATCTTGAAGGTGTTTCTGAATGTTTTGTTACACAGTGCATAGCACATGGGGTTCACCGTGCTATTGATGTAGCAAAGCCAATACCCCAGGTTCCAGAAAGTTTTGGGGATACAGTGGCAAAAGGTGTTTGCCAGAACCATGATGTTATATGGGGTCCAGGTAATGATGAAGGCAAACAAAATGGCACTGAGTGTCTGCGCCGCTTTCTTTTCTTTGATAAGTGACATTCGTTTTCGCTTTGTGATCTGACTTCTGGTCTTCAAGGCAAACTTTTTTGCCAGTGTTGCTTCCTTAAAGGATAAGGGCAAGGTTGCAGATGTCTTGGTCACTGATGAGATGCCATCAGAAGCTGCAGTTGTCTCTTCTGACTCTGGCTCAACTGGAATCTTAGAAAAGCTCTTTTGGAAATTTCCACCATCCTGAACACTTTTGGGAGGGTGCAATTTTTTCGGTTTCTTTTCCTTAGATTCTGTGTGGGATTTCTGCAGTTCATCCCCTGACTCATGCAGATCTTCCGAAGAGGGTAGTTTCGTGGAATTGAGGATAGCACTGTGACCAGGAAGCTTCAGCACGATTGAATAGATGGCTCTGGTCTCTGCAGCAATGTCTTCTTCATCAGAGGAAGCTGAATTTTCAAGGGAGGCAGCAGCATCATTGTTGTTCCAGCTGTCACTGCTGCTATGCTCTTGATCCCCCTGGTCGTTGTTGGGTTCCCAGCTCTTCATTGTGAGCCAGAAATGGCAGCGTCCATATTTCTTTCGAGTGGAGCGTTTCATGCTCTGCCGTTGCAGCTCGTAGCTGCTGCAGCTCCGGGAGCTGCCTGTCTGGCGTACAAAGCGTTCTGCCTCTGCTTCACTGCCCGAAGCCTGTAGCCCTGCTAACTCTTTGGTGCGTTTCTCCGTCTCCTTGTAGATCCTCCAATACAAAATACTCATAATGGTGACTGGCAAATAAAAGGCAGCTATGGCAGTGCCAAAAGTGATGACAGGTTCAGTTAGAAACTGGATGAAACATTCATCAGGAGGTACAGTCCTCTCCCCAACAAAATACTGCCAAAATAAGATGGCAGGGGCCCAAAGAACAAAAGAGACTATCCATGCTAAACCAATCATCACCCCAGCCCTTTTGGTTGTTCGTTTGGCTCTGTATGTTAGTGGCCTAGTGATGGAAAAATACCTGTCAAAACTTATAACAAGGAGATTCATGACAGAGGCATTACTGGCGACATAGTCAATGGAGAGCCAAAGATCACAGGCTAAGCTTCCCAAAGCCCAGTGGTCCATGATGATGTATGTTGTATAAAGATTCATGGAAAGAACACCGATGATCAAATCTGCACAAGCAAGGCTCAACAAGAAGTAGTTGTTGACCGTTTTCAGTTGTTTGTTAACCTTAAATGCAACAATCACTAAGATGTTTCCTATGATGGTCACCAGGGCAAGGATCCCTGTGAGGAAAGCAATCAAAACTACTTGCCAGACAGTGTGTCCACCCAGAGGGTCTTTGCTTGTGGCATTTAGGGTCATGTTTGTTGATTCCACAGTGGAGAAGGTAAAACTCTCTGTGGTCTGAGGGAAATCATAGCTGCCAATGAGTGATGCTGCTTCCTCAAGGAGTCCTGGTCTGTGCGAATCTCTCTTCCAGAAGGAGCTCACATTTGAAAACAGGGGTGAGGCTGAACTGTTATTTTGCATGATCATTGTGGCTCTCTGACATAGTCTGCAGTGGAGAAAAATCAAACAAAAATTAAGTGAACAAGTGAAGATGGTAAATAGATAATCGTCCTCATACTCATACATAAAATCACTTCAGCACTCTGAAAGGTGTCTTTAAAAGCCAAGCTGCCTGTCAGACATTCCAAGCCAAATATGTATGTGGTAGTACTCTGCTTTCTGTTGGTGATTAATCTGAGCTCTTTGTATTAATCACACTGTGATTCTTTACATATATTCAGTCACAGAAGAACTAAAATCCCAGGAGAATTTGAACCCACAGTAGTATTAAAATGTCCTCTAACTCTTAATTAAAACACGCCCTGATGGATTTGCCCTGAACTCAACATCTCAACAATCCCTATCCTGGAGCTAAATTCTAAACACATGCAGCCACAAATCCTCCAAGTTCCAATCAATGCTGGCCCCTAGTGCTATCCTGGCACTAGCAAAGGACAGACCCAACCTCTGCTAGCCTCAGCTATAGCTAATTGCAAACAAAATTATTGTTCTGCCTTACCTTAAACTATAGAGATGCAAGCCAGCATCACTTCACTATGTCAAGCTATTCTAACCTGTGGGGCTGCAAAGCCCTTTTCATTTTCATCTACATTTCAGCTACCTGATAAAGGTACTAAAACTTCTCAGTAGCACTTTTTGCACATCACACTATTCATTTTTCATGTACATTTTTATACTTAGACTAAGGATTTTGTACATCTAATGACTTCAAAATGTCTTTGGGGAAACGTGGTGAAAGTTCCTTTGAAACTACGGTCTCTAGAGTAAGGAAAAAATGTTTGGCAGATGTATGTCAAAGGAATCATTAAACACTTTAGGAAAAGAGGAAAAAAAATCAAAGGGATAATTAAGCCTTAATCCTTTTCCCAGAGTACTATAATAAAATGAAGACATGCTCAGAATAGGAATTTGCATTTCTCTTATTTCATTAGCTTCTGTGGTCAGCTGACTAGATTCATAGTAATTAATCAATTACATCAAGAAGCAAGAATTCTGATGAAAAAGTCCATCATTGACCATAAATGTTGAACTGAATATGCTGTCAATGTTTGTTTGTTTTCTAAATGTGAGTCCTTCCAGAGTCAATACATTACGGCATGAGATAATAATGAGTATCACAATACACTGGTGTTACTTTTGTTGTTGTTGTTTGTTTTTTTAATCAATTTCTAAATTCTAAATTCTCTTTTCCCTTGAACTGTACTTGGTTTTGTTACCAAGCCATGAGATTCTATGTGATTTTAAATGGAGCAGTTTCATTAACATATCTAGTAAACAGACCGACAGTTCCTTCCCCTCGCTCATGCACAGTAACACAAACCCCACACCTATTTTGAAATCTAGCAAAAATGAGATATTAATGTTTCTCTTTATTAATAGGAATACAAGGTTACAAAGATGATGCCTTATTTTAATCTAATTCAATCCACTTTTAATGCATTCATCGTTGTATCACACAGAATATGAACATAATGTGTAAATATTGCTCTGGTAAATCACACAGTTAAATTTTAAGTCTTTTCCTGAAAGAAAGATTGAAAAATTGGAGCAGCTCTTCTTCTAAAAAGAAAAATGGTAAGATTTTTATAAACTGTAAATTAACATTGATAACTTTGATTTTCTTGAAATCTAAGGACACTGAAACTAAAACTATCTTTTATCAAAAAACTTTGGCATTCCAAGTTTTCTTTTTTTTGCAAAGTTTATAGGAAATTAATTTTTGCACAGTTTTGCATGAAAGTTCAGGCAAAAAAAAGACATTCTGAAAATTTGTCGAGCTGCTTCTCTAAATTGTTCAATATTTTATATCATTTTAATTGTTCCTTCCCCATCTCCAGGATGAAGGACCACCGCCTCCCTAAGATCCTGCTTTATGGTGAACTTGCCACCGGCTGCCGCAAGAGAGGAACCCCGAAGAAAAGATACAAGGATTCCCTGAAACAACATCTCAGCCTTGGCCATATTGACCACCATAACTGGTCTACTCTGGCCTCCAATCGGGAGGCCTGGAGACACACCATCTATAACGCTGCTGATGCTTTTGAGAAAGCACGCAGGATCACTCTTGAGGAGAAAAGACAATGCAGAAAGAATCGAGCCTTGCAGAATATACCACCTAAGGAGTCTTTCTGCTGTGCCTGTTGCAACCGGACATGCCTGTCTCGTATTGGCCTTTTTAGCCATTAACGCGCTTGCAACAAACGTGGGTAGAGCCCTTCCCAAATTTTCATTCGCAAAGCCTAGCCATGATGATGATGATGATGATGAATTGTTCCTTCCCCAAGAAAATCTAAATGAACTTTTCTGACACAATTTCACCACGTCCTTGCCATCTATTAGAGAATCTCTGGGACAGACCATGTTTCTTTTTTTTCTTTCTCAAAATATAATACTTCTGACTATGGAGCTGCTGTAGGGCAGGTCACCAAGCATACAGCAACCATCATGCTGTTTCAAAGAATATGAAGAAGTCAAATCTGCACTGTGTGTGAGAGAGAGAGACTCACCTAAACTACAACAATGAAACAAAAGTCTGCAGAGAGTAATTTTCATAAGGGCAAGCAGAGGTCTAGATGAGAAGCATGCTTTCTTGTTTTGCATTTGTACCCCCTCAAGCTCAATTCCTTGCCTTGGCCAAAGATGACATTCATTTATACATCTTTAAAAATGGAGATCCCACATACTCAAAAACTAAAGATAAAGGCCTCTGGAAACCCAGTGTTCTCCTTTCACAAAGATATTGAAGCAGCATTCAAGTTTGGCTTGCCCCTTCCAATGTGTGGGTGAACAAAACACACAGTTCACTTGTGAACAATCACTTAAGCAATTGTTGACACTGTCCTTGCCAGTTGTTTATGAGCCAAGGTGGTTAGTCATAGTCAGGAAAAAACCTTTAACTCAAACAGGATTGCTGGAAACCATCCTTCTTGCAATGTTTTACTTAGGAAGCAGGCTTTTCTTTCCAGAGCTGTCAGAGAGGATGAGGTCAAAACCAGAATAGTATGAGAGAGATCTCAAATAATGATATTTGCTAAATATATGCCAGAAATGATTAATGTTATAGGGTGCAGACCTTCCTTCACTCACACTAGGGACAGAGAGCAGAGGATGCAAGCCAGAAAGCATCCGCTCTGCAGCCATAAATTTCCAAAACCTTTACAAGGTAACAACCAACATAGTTATGTATTGGTTGAGAAGTCTGATGAGTAAATTTAGATGACTATGATATTCTGCTGCTTTTTCATAAAAAAAAAAAAAAGACAAGCTGGTATCTTCTAACACACAAGAAAGGACCAGAAAGAAGAGATATATCTATCTATATCTAATCTATCTATCTATATCTATATCTATATCTATCTATCTATCTATATCTATATCTAGCTATCTATATCTATCTATCTATATCTATCTATCTATATCTATGTCTATCTATATAATGTATATCTATATCCATAACTATATCTAGATATGCAGAAATATAGATATACATATAAAGGAGATAAAACTTCCACTAGAGGGCATAGAAAAAAACCAATATAGCTTAGAAGTGATGGTAGAAAACAGTATTACTAAGAAATAAAAATAGTTAACAGTTCGGTAGTACTTCCCATTTTCACCGCATAACACAACCACGAACTAATCTGAGTGTTAGCCTTGGAAGTCCAAAACAAATACCACATAAATAATACAAATAACCTTTCAAAATTAATGTGTAAATGCCACACTATCTATCACTAAGTCCACAAAACAATTGTGAATTCTGTTTGATTGTAGACTTTGAAATGGAGTTTCAATGTAAATTAACCAATAAATCCTTTCAGAAATGCCATGTTTCAAAAGACTCATGATGAGGAGGCCTGGCAACACTGTTATTTAGCTGCAGTCTTTCAGGTGCTGAACAAGTGCTGAAACAAACCTTTATTTCTCAGGTCAGTTCTCTCATCCCTGGACTTCAAAGTAACTTCTCCAAGTCACAGTTTCAATGAAAACCTGAACAGTCCTTAGCAGTCCAGTAACTGAGGAAGAGGAGAAACTGAGAACAACCCATCAACTGTCCCCTGCTGCCCAGTGCAGAGTACTGCATCTGGAACTTTTTTAACTCCTTGGGGATTAAAGGGACCCCTAAACTCCCATTGACTGGACTATTTGATAAAATGAGAGTGCTAGCAGGAGTACAGTCTTTTGTTATCCTGTCTCTTCTACAAGTTCCTGTAATTGAACTGTTTAATTCAATAAAAATATATTAACTATATGTTCATCTACAGAGAAAAAAAATATCACTACCACCACCACTGTAACAGGCCAGATCAGCATAAATGGATTTTCTTGACTTTAGGAAGCCAAGGCAAGCTATGTTATCTGTCATTCTCCAAAGCTACCATGCAATTTCTGCTTTCTATATAAGAAGTGCTACAGGGACAGAGAGTGTCCTGGGTTTGACAAGAAAACAGTGGGATCTGCAGTGCAGCCTGCCAGCACCTACCCAGAAAGCCAAACTCAAAGACAGAATGATGTGTGACCAAGTGGGAAAGCAGACACACATACTTTGGTAAAACAAACAGTGCAGCACTGCCTGAGCGAGGCAAACAACCCAAACTGTGAAATGATTATAGGTTTACATACTAGGGTAAGAGTTTACAAATCATTGGTATGATGCACTACATTAGAATTTCAAGCCAGGAAGTAACAAAAGAAACTTCTTTTAGCCCAAGAATATATAATTACCTACCTAAGATTACTACAATGGTATTCCCTGTGGCTTTTAGGTTTTTTGTTCTTGTTTCTGTTTTTTAATAGGATCTTATGAAAGATACCGGCTGGAGAACATCAGACGCAATGTAAACTTCCCAGCATTATTCAGGAAAAGTGTAGGCCCAGTACAGACAATGGCTATACAGACTTTCACACACATCCATCCCAGTGTATCTCTGCTCCCTAGCCCACCAAAGGGAGTGAGATATTAGATATCCTACTAAGACCAATTGG